GGTAAAAACAAACACAATCCATTCAAGAATCAGTTTACAAAGTCACAAGGTGTCTCGTCCCGCCGGCATCCCTCCAAGGTAGACGCCTAATTACATTGATCATCCATCAGCGATTAAAACAGTGGTACTGAGCTGCAAATGAGGAGGTGCTCCATGCCGAGTGGGAAACATGACTAACAATGTTAACATTGGAAAACATGTTGGCAAGGGAATTGAATCAAAGAAAGCTTTGTGAAAACCAGAGGCATACGTAGAATACAAATGAAGTTTGAGCCTGAGAGGACATCAAAAGGCTCCAGGGCCTATGGAGCAGCACGGCACAGGTTGTTATTTAATAAACTTAGCAAGAGGACTTAGCGTGAGCTGTGGGAGTGTTTGCATCCCAGTGGACATACACCAGGGAGACCGCAGAGAAACAGTGCTCTTTGCTGGACTCGGGAAGCTGAGGGAAAGGTTTCCTCAGGTGTGTGTTTGTGGGTTAACAGTTGCTTCCACTCTGAGGTGTGTTTGTTGCCATTGTCGTTTTTCAAAGATCATGGTTCAGTGGGTACAGGCTGAATGTGCATGTGTGCAGAGAGGGCGAGGGAACGTGTGTTGTTTCGGTGATGTTCGCAGCCACCTCAGCCCCCCGTTTATGCTCTTCCTCTCTCCAAGCTTGCTGGTTGCCATGGAAACGGCTCTCCATGCTGCTGCTGGCAGCATCCTATCACTCACAGTCTCTCAAAGATTGCCAAGGCGAGCTGTTTGGGATCAGCGGGATCCTTCAGGAGCTGCACACAGAGGGGGGGGGCGCTCTGCGAATTGGTTCAAGGTGTCTCCATGGTAACGTTTTGGCTGATCCCTAAAACCCAACCGCTTGCTTTGGGTCACAGCCACAGGTCAGGAGAGCATTCCTGAAGCAGTTAAGCATCACAACTGCACAACATTTCCAGCAAACCATTTCCCCTTCTTAAGGAATTTTAAAGATATAATCAATATTTTTTTATTTAAAAATTGATCAAATTACTGTGTGATGTGACAGGCATTACACACAATGATGGCCACAGAACTATCGGCTCACTCTGCAGAGTACGTCATATTTCAGCCATTTTCGTTTTATGGCGTGCCACTGAACTGTTCTGGTTCACCATCATAGCCTCATTTTCAGCCAGAGCAGGAAGAAGCGCATGGCAAAGTTAGCAAGTAGCAGCTAAGACTCAAATACAATCCTTAGGAGTTTCTGGGGAGCAAAGTGCATCTAGAAGAGAGCAAGTTGGGGATTTACATTCATCAGGTGGACACAAACACGACTCAAATGGAAAGCATATCTACTTAAAAAGTGATTTTACAAATCTCCCAGGTTCTCTTAAAAGTTCTTAGATTGGGGGGGAAATTCATCTTCTTTCATGCTGTCTGACAATGTGAAGCAGATTTTCTAACAGCTCGCTCCAACTTTCCAACTAAGCTGTATGATGTTTGTGTCTTGTAACTCCACCTTCCCAAAATGGACCTTTGTTTGATCAACACAAGCTTGTACCGACGGACACCCAGCGGGAACAGTGTGATGTAAGAGCTCAACCTGCTTCCACTGTCTCCAGTCTTACCAGCGTGTATTTCTCTTTTCATGCCAGGTGGAGTTTCCTCAGTGAAACAGTGCACTGATTTATTTTTTTACTTTTTGTTTTTTGCCTGCCCCTACATCTTCACTCACTGGTGCTGAGTGCTACAGAAAGACAGATAAGAGAGGAGGAATGGAAGGCTTGAAAGAAAGAGAACGTACCCTGCCATCACCGCAGATCAGAAACACTTTAGAAGTTAGTGAGGCGGAGTGGAGCAATCCCCTCGGCCAGACTTCAAAGGCAGCCGCTTTGGAGAGGAAATAAGGACAAGCGTTAAAGATTCAGAGGAACTGCCAAAGTTGTCTGCCACTTCAAGAACACTGCCACCGCATCTGAGGAAGCCAAGAGAGGAGGGAGCAACAAATGATCAAACATGCAACATACCTGGGATTATAAGGGATACAACATTCATTGGAGTGAGTGTTGGAAGTCAGATCTGACCATCTGGGCTGTATCCTCACCCTCTGAGAAAATGAAATGTCTTCCTGTTGTTTTGCTCCTTGCCTGTCGCTGAGCTGTGCCAATACCGAGCTTCACAAACAGAATCGCTGACAGCGAGCATACAAGACTTTTGTCAGATTTACTCCTCAGGTTCCCCTATCGTCCCCCTCTGATAAGTTTGTGGGAAAACAGGGGCCTCCTGTTTGTGCAGAGAACAAAACTGCTTGTACGGTTATGCATGAGGATACACTGCTCATGGGTGTGCAGACTCATCAGGACAGAAGAGAGAGGAAGAGGTAGAGGGAAAAACAACAAACGGCTTTTTGTGTCACATTCAGGCCACAGCACTTGCATTTTGAAGCCGTCCTGACACTCGTACACTCCGTAATAAACCACAGGTCAGTTGAAGCAGCGACAGAAGGACAGGTCTGTCTCCATGGCGATGCAGCATCTCCCACATTCAAGTGCTGAATGAAGCGACCTCTCTCCTGAACAGGTTTTGTGTTCTGAAGAAATCAGAGGAAGCTTTGAATAAAGCTTGTTTGAAAGCTCTGAAGAAGACTCTTCCAACTAGGACTGACTTCAAACAACACGGACAACAAACTGCTGGGATGCAACTTCTGGAATCGTCTCCTGTGTACTGGAAGGCAGCGGGGGCCTTAGAGAAAGGATCTGAAGGAGGAAAACAACAGCTCTGCCCAGAAGGATTATTGTAATAAGTTTTATGCAGATTGTCACTAAAACAGGAAAAGCTTTGTTTCTCTGGCACTCCCTTACTGAGGGGTTTTGGAAAGGGCCACGGGAGGCGTCTTAAAATAATCCTAATTTGCTTATGCACTTGTGAAAATCAGATTTGTGCAGACTTTGTTCTCATATCCCCACTTTAAGAAGCTGAGAGCCTCTGTTAAATCAGGTTTGCAAAATGCATTGTAAAGCAAAGATGGCCGCCCCCTGTACTCACAATATTTAGCCTCAGTGACAAGGCGTCCATCTTCACATACATTCTGCACTGGTCTCACGTCCTGCTTGGAGATGGTTACACTGTGAATTTGATCCTCAATCAATTTTATGACACTGTCTTCTCAAGACCGTCCACAAACGACACTGTCTTTGACACAGAGTAAAAATGTTCTCTGCTTTTCAACAACCTGAATGAGGATAGCTGAATGGCTGAGGGCATCCAATGAGTCAAATAAAGTGAGTTAGCTCTTTTTTCTTTGCCTTGACTTGATTGAAGTCAGTCTGCTTCATGTCTTTGAAGTGTGGTTTTCTGTGTGCCATTCTCTGATGGAGGAGTGTGGTCTGTCTAGCGCTGCATTTTTAAACAGCCACTTTCATGTCTCCAGTGAGGTGCATTGGGATTCCGATCTTGTAACCCTCGCTTGTGCCTCGGTCCTCCCTGCTCCATTTTGTCGTTTCAATCCACACCTGAAAACGACACATGAATGACACTTACACACAGAAATCTTCTCATATTAATATCCGACTTTCAGATTCTGCCACCATGCAGCCACTAATGTTATTTTAAGCATGAGCTGCAGACATCAGCCACCTCTTCTATTTTTTCCTCACTTCCTAAACCTGTCATCATTCTTCCTTTTCTCACTTCACTCGTGCCTTCATCTTCAATTTATCTTCCTCGCCTCACCTTCCTCTTCTTCTTCCTTATTATGCACAGTGACGACAACAACATGGTGTCTGGTTGTCGGAGTTGGACGGGGAAAGAAAAGAGGGCATGCAAATGATCTTTTACTTCAGTCTGTATGCTGCTATGCATGCAGAGTGGCCCGAAGTGACCCGAGCCTACATCACAGGGACTTGCTCAGGTTGTGTAGCGCAGAAGACAAGTAGCTGCAAACAGCTGTCACCACTTCGGCTGGTAGAGATCTTAGCACCATGGTGCATGGACAAGACCTTTTGAGAATTACGTTTGTAAAAATGACATCCTAATAAATTAGATTTTTTTTTAGGCGCAGTCCTGATACTGTGCATTTCAAGTATTCACTTATCACTCAGGATGTTTTCAAAAAGCTACACTACCATCTTCAGTAAAGAAACTTCACCCACCACCCAAGTACAGTATCTGTATTTATTATATTTGTCTCCTCATGTAATTGTTTTGTGTTTTCTGCTGTTGTGACACTCCAGTTTCCCTATGTGCGATCAACAGTCGATCTGAAGTGTGTGCAATTATTATTGTTTGTCTGAACTCAACATATTTTACATACACTGTTAATAAGCATGAGAACTGATGTATTTTAGCTCGTGGCTTATCAGATCTTTTCATGGGCCCGTTGTTTACAAAATCTCTCTGGTTATGTACAGTTGGTTTTTATGGGCTGATCAGCGACTCAAACTTTTATGGGTTATCTTTTCGGGCCATTGACTTTCATTTCACAAGTCTGGCTCAGTGGTACATGCTGTGTGCTGGGGTATATCGTCTAACACATGCTGCTATTGTACCAGTTACATAGGTAGTTTTTTCAAACCAATATATGATGGAACTTTGTGATGTTGTGAGACAGAAGTGCAGCAACTTCAGAGCAGCTCATTAATTTGCTGCACCAGCAGTCGATAGCACAGATGAACCACGCGAATCAGTGAACCTAACAGAAGAGGTGTTAATGAGGACGGGGGTATGCAGCAGGATTCATGTTGCAAATCATGCTCCCTTTCCTCTGCCTTATCTCTCAGCACTCTCTCTCACACTCACACACACTTAGGCCTCTGTGGAACAGAAGGGATCAGGGCTGGGAGGGGGCGGTATTTTGTCTTCATACCTTCTTGCATCTGCCAGTTTTTGCCCCAGTTAACTCCCATTAATATAATTTGCCATGTTCCACATGGATGCTGATACACACTGCATGCAGGATGAGCTCTCTGCTTCACTGTCTCCAGCCCTCCACTGGACACGGATACACACACACGAACACACACACCTGTGCTCACACTTTTTCAAAAACCGTGACATCCCCAGAAACATGAATCGCACGAAGTAGACAGCTACAGCTGGCCCTGTGAAACGCACCATGAGTGGTTACATGAGCGTGTGCATGCTGTGGACAAATCTTAGTTCAGTACCACCGTGAGGGCATTTTAACCAGTCACAACTTCAAAGGGGACTAAGACTTGGTTTTAGGGTTAAGGGTAGAATTAGGTTTAAGTTGGGGTTGGAGGCTTGTGAATGAGTTGCATGTGGCAACTGGACACAGACGTCTGGATTGTGACACCTCTTCCTCTGATTGTCAACCGTGTTGCTGCCGTTGCAGCTGTGTGTGTGTGTCCTCAATAAGACTTGGTTCAAATCAAATTTTATTTGTATATCACCAAATCACAACAAAAGTCATCTCAGGACACTTTACAAATTAAGGTCTAGACCTTACTGTTATCAATATTATTACATAGGGAAAACCCAACAAATCCCCCTTGAGCAAGCACTTGGTGACAGTGGGGAGGAAAAACTCCCTTTAACGGAAGAAACCTCCGACAGACCCCGGCTCTTGGTGGGCGGCCTTCTGCCTCGACCGGTTGGGGTGAGTGGATAGAGGAGAGACAAAAGAAGAAAAGCAACAAGATACAACAAATAATGAAACACTGGTCAGGTCGATGTGGCTGGTGACTGCTCATCAGAGACGTAGAGCTCCAGGGCCAGGGCAACCTGCAGAAAGGTACAGGGAGAGAGAGAGGACACACTACGGGAGAGAGGAGACACAAAGTTAGTAATGTGTAATGGTGGCATATAAAAGCATAGGGGGAGAGGAGAGGAGAGGGGAGGGGAGGGGAGAAACTCAGAGCATCATGGGGGCCCCCAGCAGCCTACGCCTCAAGGGCGTTCAGATTCAGTAAGAGGATGCTGAAGAAACTATAAACACTAAACCTGTTTCTTCCCCTCTTTCTTTGTCCCACTCCGTGTAAAACAACATGGCCTCTTCTGTTTTGGACTTTTAGCTTCATGACTACAATATGACTACTTGCAGTTTGAAAAACACAACCTTCGCCAGGTGGCAGGCGCGTGCGCAGGTGACTGACTCATGCTAACTTCAGGACTTTGCGGCACCACGGTTGGGCCTGGTGTTTTGTTATGAAAAAAAAAAAACATGCGTACACTGCCAAGCCACTCCACTACTGTCTAGGACATCAGAATATTTCTTCTCTTTAATACCGGACCATGATATAAAGTGTCCTGAGCTGCTCAGTGACTGACCTCCTCCTCTGGCTGCAGTGGAGAGTTGCTCTGAGGAGTCCAGGGTGCGCTTTAACTCATTCCCACCCGGCGCTGTTAGGCTACTACCCTCTGGAATCAGGCCTTCAGTTAAGAGCCTGTTTTAAACTTTTCTTGATTATTCAGTGGGCCTAAATCATGAGGCACTGCATGTTATCAACTCAGATTGCTCAGATGTTTTGTGCACACGTTTACACATTTCGAAAACATCACTCAAAGCGAACATGATTCCCCATATGAGAGTTTTATAATACGCATCTTATCTTATTTATGGCAGGGATCATGTGCAGGCTGCTGCTTTCCCTCCGTGGTGGAGAAGCTTGCAGGGATGTTGAGATGAGGGGAATTTATTTTTCAGGCGATAAAGAGGCCAACCCCATTGGCGCATCCGTGTTGTTACTGCACATTATACTGTGGCTGCATGCCATTTTGTAAAACTGTTTGTAGCTACACAACGTTTCTGTGCAAGCTGAAAAACAAAACCACTTCTCCACAGATAAAAGATCGTCCTCAGCCTACTTTAGAGAGAGTTTTGGGCATAGAAACGATTTCTGTTTGAGCTTTTTCAGCTTTGAAAATAACAGCAGAAGGGAAAAATGGATGTCTGCTGCAGCTGAAAAATTAGCTTCAGTACAGTTTTGAAAATGGGGGGAAAGTGTTTTTGCAGAAACTGTGGAGATGTTGAATACGGCAGATAAAACGATGGTGATGAGAAGAAGTGGGGGTGCACACTGCATGTATGGCTTTGGTTAGACATACACTTGGGCTTTTGTGGCACCAAACCTGCAGCTACTGCAGCTGAAGCCTGAACCACCACAGCACAGAAATGGACATCTTGAGACATTCAGGTGAGAGTCAGAAAGACACATCCGGTGTCTCTGCATTTCTCTCCGACTCACACTGCAGGAGATTTATGATTTGCTGTTGAGACAGCGTGTGGTTCAGCTCATTCTATTAATGTTACAGCTGAAAAGCCTGCAAGAGCAGGTTGTTTACACAGTAGAGAAGCGTGTGCACTGTAACAAATCCTCTAATAGGAATAAAAAGAAATCCACACTAATATACTGTGGAAGACATGGTAGAGGTTTAGTGTTTTGTGAACATGAAAAACCAATTTCCTAAAGCTCAGAAGAGTCAAGAACTCAAATTCTGACATCCATAAATTTTGAGCAGCTTCATTTACGTAATGAAAGGCATAACCATTAGCTGATTTACAGGCTTGTTAGAGATTTACAACCCCAGAAAAACACAATCATTGTAGCAATAACCAGTCCTGGGAACGTACCAAAATAGTCACCCATCTTCTTTTTCTGTCAACACAGAAGCAGCAAATATTTTCTTGTGATTTTCTCAGATTACATTCTCAGCTGTTTTCTGTTTTGGTGGTGAGGGCTTTGGCCTGGTTTCCCAAAATCATGATCAAATGATGACACCAAGTGGAACTGGAAACTCTTGTAAGTTAGTATCTGACACAAGAACAGAAGCTGCATCAAAAACACACAGGCTAATACATAACAATGACGTGCCTGACAAGCCCTTTCTTCTCTCTTTTGCAACAAAAGGCGGCACCGAGTCAAACATTTGTAACCGGGTACCAGGTTGTCTAATAAAACTAACATAAAGAAATGTATTTACAACAACCCACTGTAGTTTTAAATGGCCGTCCTTCCTTTACTCTGAGAAAACTGTTCTCAAACTCAGAAAAGCATCAGAAAAGTCAAAAGTTGCACTGCCTCCTGGGAAATGTAGGAATATGGATTAGAGTGCTTTCACTCTAACGGCTAACAGGAAAAGAGACAAGAGGGAAGGGAGCACTGACTCAGCCAGACCTGTGCGTCGTCTCGGCTCATCCCAACTCTGTCATAAACTGTATGTAAAGGTCTGTCACACTATTATACCACTGTGCATATGAGAAACAGGTGGGGAGGGAGGGGAGCAGCTCCAATCATCACAGCTATGTGCCCTATGACCTCAACCTTTAACAGGAATCTAACCAAAGTGATGCAAAATTACTAAAATGAGACACAAAGTGTCTTCAAAGACATGAAAAGGGATCCTAAATCAACTAAGGATGCAAGACTAAAGAGGCCAAACAACCAAAAAGAGATACAAGACAAAATGAGTGACTCAACACAAAACGCTGTGATGAGATGGAAAAGGACCAGAAACACAAACCAATTAAAAAGACACAAACTGGCACAGCAGGTGCAGAAATATCCTGACCTGTGAGTATGGCTCAGCTTCCCTGAAGTCAATGCACATAAACCCTCCCTCCGTGGAGAAACTACAGTATTGTCTCCATCAGGATCAACTTCTCAGATGTTGGACAGCTCCCTCTGAAATCACTAAAGATATCATGTGTAAAGTTGACGGAGCGCTGCTTTAAGCTCCCTCGGACCCTGACATTCAGTTTATCCTCCCTTTGCAAAACATCCTCTCACTCAACATCCTGCCCTCGTAGAGAAATACATTGAAAATAAAAAGCACAGACACACAAAACCTCTGACTTATCTTTTGGCAGCACTGTCAAACAAACAAACACAACCTCTCAAACCCACAGATGACGTGATCACCTCCATTGACTGTGAGAATATGAAAACAGCAGAAGTGCTGCTCGATGACTCTGTTCTCCGGCAGCTCAGTCAGTCATCGTCAGCCATGCAGCAGAAGGCTAACGAAGGCAGCTGACTCGCCACATGGTGCTGTGACGTGCTAACATATTCTTTCTGCCTCCGTCCTCACCACTGTCCTGTCTCTACATTGCTGTCACCTCTTCTCTTCGTTTTTGCTCTGAAAGCTCTAATTTCTAGATGTAACTATATTTTCTTTTTGCGCTCTCCGACCAGTGGTTCCAGGCCTTTTTGTCTGATGCCCAGACTAATCTGTTACCTTTAGTAAAACTGTTCAACTCACCTTTTATCTAATTGTTTAAACTGCTTCCAGTCCATTTCAATTCCAACCATAAGTGATTACTTTTAATCAACCATCTCAATTTTTGCGGCTTGCTTGCCAACTTTTCACACACTTAATTGCAATACATTGTGTTAATGTGCGACAACTGGCTCGGGCTAAAAATGTTAAGCTGTAGATTTGACTTTGGCTGTTTATTTCGCAAATATATGAAAATTATTTTTATTTTTAAAAATCTAATTACAAATTCCATTGGTAATTAGTTGAGTTAATTAGCCGCGTTTTCCATAAAGCACCTGGCAACTGTGGAGGTAGAGGAACCAGAGAATGTGTGCAGAATGGGTGGATGTAGCAGATGTTCTTTCATGTGCCTTTGCACTGTTTACACCCAGTAACATGGGTAAACTATCATCTGAATCCTAAATCAATTTACAATCAATAAAAATGGCATTTTCAAATCATATTTTCCTTAAAGTTCACCTGCTTTTAACTCAAGTTGGTAAGACATCTCCTATGACATGTAAAGAAAACCCTTGCCCACCTCCCCTAAGCACAGTTTTAACACCGAATACTTGATTTGATTTGATTTATTCTTTTAAGCATGTAAAGACAGTTGATATGTCAACACACATAATTTTACACATATCCAACAAATGCTAATCCAATATCAATGTGCTTATACCTAGTACATGCTTGAATGGAGTAGGAAGAAGTCAGACTTATCCAGTCCTACCCCATGACATCATCTTACCATCATTGGTTTGCAAGCAGTAAATGATTCACTTCTACCCACACAAGTATTATACTAAAAAATTATAACAGTGTTAACATTCTTAACAATATACTAAAGAATTATTACAGAGTATTAACATTCATACACCACAGCCACAATGTTCCATCTAATTAATCATTAAGCCTGTTCTTGCATATATCTTGATTGACGCATACCTTTATATTTGTGTTTAAACTCATCAATTCTCTTACTGTTTTTTATGTCCACACTTAAATTATTCCATAGTTTTACCCCACTTAT